GTATTACATATGAAAGCATAGGAATTGAGGTCATACAACCCATCTAAAACATAGTGCTCGAAAGATTGCATCGTTGATTCAATATTCTATATTGTATTCCAAAGTCTGTAGTCTTAGTTTCTGTGCTAAGTGTTTTGTGCACCAATCCATTCTTTCTAGACGGAATAGTAGCAGTGCTATTTCATAACAATAATAATTGGAATGGATCTTAATAATAAGGCAGGTCTCTATGATTCCCAATGTTAATATATCTTCCAAATATATTAAAATGTGGATGTGATACAGTCTTTTCAAAGCCAGAGTGTAGGATGGAGTAATATACTCCCAAGAGAAATTCCTTGTACAGATAGAAATGGACACGGGACAGAATGGAGCCTTGCTGCGATGCCTGCAATGTCTGCTTATGACGTGTATCTCTGTTGTTGTTTACTTTTGAGATTTTTTTAAAATTAAGTCTCTCTCTTCCCTTTCCTTCCTCCAAATTCTCCCACAGACCTCTCCCTGCTCTACTTCAAATTCTTAACCTATTTTTCATCAATTGTTATTTCATGCATATATGCATTTGTATACATATTCTTAAACATAACATGTTACTTGCATGCATGCTTTCAGGGCTGACCATTTACACTAGACAACCGACTGGGATGCTCTTCTCTGGGGAGGACCACCCTCTCCCTCTCTGAGCTGCTTGTAGTTCTGTGTCCAGGGTTGAGGCCTCATGGGCTTTTCCCCAGCCAGTCTTGCATGTTAGTTGGTGTCCTTGTCTGGCTCATATTTGGGCAGTCATATTGGTGAGACTTTACAGATATAGCTTCTGATGTTACTAAGAGACACAATTTCACAGCAATTCTCTGACCCTCTGGCTCTTAAGACTCTTCCTGCTTCCCCTTCTTCAGTGTTCCCTTGAGTCTAAGGTGTAGGAGTGTTTTATCGATGTATTGTGACATTTATCTTTACTAGCTATGCTGGTGAAGGTATGCACTCCTGGAAGAATTAGCTTTGTGTGTGTAAAATCTAAGAGCTTCTCTACTTGAGTTGTGAGAGCCCTTGGTTGAGCATAGGAAGGGAGAGATGTGGCTCTCAAACCTTGATGCTCTAATGTCCACCAGTCTGAGGCTGTAATGAACAGGTACTGAAGGCGGTATGCAGCAGTGAGCGAGGGATTGGGTTAGAGGGTCTATAAGAAGCTATGTGTGGGCTAGGTCTCTGTCACTATGAAATTGCTATGGCAGAGGGTTCCCATTTGTGTGTGTGTGTGTGTGTGTGTGTGTGTGTGTGTGATATGTGTTGTGGAATATTACTGAAATATGTGTTATATTTGTTTATGCTGCAGAACATTTTTTTAATGCTTCTAAGACTGTATTCTTTTATGTTGTATTTGTTTAACTCTGTGAAGCTGTGCTACTTTGCCTGTCTAAAACACCTGATTGGTCTAATAAAGAGCTGAACAGCCAAAAGCAATGCAGGAGAAAAGATAGGCGAGGCTGGTAGGCAGAGAGAATAAATGGGAGGAGAAATCTGGGAAGAGGATTTAGGAGCAAGAAAAGGGGCGAGGCCATCAATGACTAGCCACCCAGCTACAAAACCAACAATGGAGTAAGAAAGAAAGGTATATAAAGTATCGAAAGATAAAAGCCCAGAAACAGAAGATATACCAGATAATTTTAGAAAAGCTGGCTAGAAACAAGCCAAGCAAAGACTGGACATTTATAAGTAGTAAGACTCTGTGTGGTTCTTTTGGGAGCTGGGTGGTGGGCCCCCAAAGGAGTCAAGAGTAGCGAGCCAAAAGAGTTAAAAAAAAAATAAACCAACTGCATATATGCTATGTGTATGGGACGTGTGCCACAGTGACAGTGTGGCACTCAGAGGACTTGACCTTTCACTCTGGGACAAGGTCTCTGATTTTGTTTTTAGCTGCTGCAGGCCCAGGAGCACATGGGGAATCTCACCTTCACCTCCCATCTCACCACAGAAACACTGGGATTACAGACGATTGCTATCACATTTGGATCTGAGTGATTCAGGGGATTCAAACCCGGGTCCTCAGGCTTGTATGGACATTTCCCCGGCCCTATCCAATTACTCTTTTATCAGCAAGAAAAAGAATGTTACTAGGTAACTCAGGAAGTGTTGACCGGCAACTTGACTTCCTCCAACAACACTAAAGTCACCTTCTACACTCACTTACTATTTATGGTTTTTCAAGACAGGGTTTCTCTGTAGCTTTGGAGCCTGTCCTGGAATTAACTCTAGTAGAACAGGCTGGCCTTGAACTCACAGAGATCCTCCTGCCTCTGCCTTCTGAGTGCGAGTGCATGTAGGCCGGCTCCTACACTCTCTTTTTTAGAACACTATGAGGCCACTGGTGCTGTTTTACCAACTTTCAGCCCACTCCCCAGTTTCACTGTCAGTAACCACAGGACATTTCCAGGTAATCAGGGCAGGAATGTGAGATAGGTGGAATGCCCTTCCCCAGTAGCTGGTAGAAGGGAGGAATGGTCTGTGGACATATGCAAATGAAGGCACGTGCAGATGAAGGGACTCTTCCAATCACTGACAAGTGCCAGCTCAGTCGTTGTGGTGCAGGGTATAAATGGAAATCACTTGTGCTGATCTGTAGTCCCAGTTCGGTGAAAACCTCAATGTGCAGTCAAGTAAACTGGATTCCTCTAGTGAAGGCAACTCCAGCTTCTGAGTTCTGCCTTACTTAATGTACTTAATGCCCATGTGCTCTCCATGTGCTTCTGAGGGCCTGTTTCCTGAGCAACAGCAGGCTGCCACAGGTGAATGGCCAATCTGAAGTTTGATCACACTTGTGTCCCAGAAATCTTAAGATTTGCCATTAGCAAATTGCAACTGAACAGATTTTTGACATTTAATTTTTCCCTGCTAAGTGGTGCTGTCCACCTACCACTTGAAGAAGTGAGGACCTTGCAGACACCATAATGAAGGAGAGTGGAAAGAGGTGCAGAGGAGAAAGGAAAGATTTAGGTCATTTTACACAGAACAGCTTATCAACAGAAAAAGCTCAATTCCAACACCTGAGGTGACTGATCCTAAATTTGAAGTGCAGATGTAACCAGCAAAGTCTATTCTACAATAAATTATTGTTTGCAATGTGTAAGTTAGCGATGAGCATGTAAAATAAGCAAGTCACTGGGAATGTGGATTGTGGGGTTTATTCTTTTAAAAGTAATTGATTGTATATATTTGAAAAAGTCTGTTTCTCAAGCCAAATACACATAGTAGCACCTAGACAGAATCAGTAGCTCTTTTATGTTAAATTGGAAGACTATAAGGATTTATGGGTATACTAGCTACTTGGGGATATAAAGTCCTTGTTCTTGAGGTTCAGTAAAGTTTGCAATTTATTGAAGTGTGTGCCACAATAGTTGTGTGTGTGTGTGTGTGTGTGTGTGTGTGCGCGCGCATATAATTTTGCCAAAGGGAATCTAGAATATCTTAATAGTGTTGACCTTACTCTTGACAAATGCGGTTTTCAAGCCGAGACAGCTAAAAGTGATTACACACAAAAGCTAACACATATCAAAGTACATGCTGTTTGGAATGACCTGGTACAGCTCAGTAGAGAAAATGTCACTAGGAAATGAGACAAGAATGACACAGTAGCCCTAAAATGCTGTGTGGTGGGCTCTCATACGCCAAGGCCTCTTAGAACCATCGGTCCAGTCCCTGAGCAGCCATTTGTCTTGTCCTCCTAAACCTCAAGCCTCCCGTATAGCTTCCCTTCTTCCCAACCCCGTAAAAGTTCTCTCATCACCCCTCATTGGCTGAGCAGTTTGGCTCATAACCAGCAAACCAGTAAGCTAATTTAATCGTATTGGGATTCACCCAACTATTAAAATGAGTTGCTTCTCTGGGCTTTATCAATACTGCAGTCCTAACCCTAGAACAGGAACCTTTCTTGAAATACTGTCAGCAAGCTAAATTCATCACTGCAGACTAATCAGTTCTTCTATGTGTTCTTATCTGTAGAGATGATCCTGCAATTAGCTAACTAAAATCACCTCCACTGAACGGAGTCTTCGTAGGGCCACTCTTCCACAGCACACCAGCAGGGCAGCCGCAGTTACAAGTTTGGTAGGCTGATGTACTCCCTCCCCTTAAAAAGACCACCGCTACTCTAGCCCACTGCAGCAAAGGCATGGTTGTGCTGAATGTCCCACCAGACACTTCACTGAGACTATTCTGAGTACTTGACTGGCAACATGAGCCAGGAATGTATAAGCAGACTGTGTAGGTACAGTAGAACATACAAGACAATGTTCAGTCAGTGGGACAACTGTCAGGGAAACTTTATTTACAATGACTGATACTTGACAATAGCAATTGTTCTGATACACTTATTTGGAAATCTGCTTGTTATCTATTATATATTGGGTACCACCAGGTCTGTTTATAATGTAGCTGGTCTTCAATTCTGCCAGGTAGTTTCTATTACTTCCATTCTAGAGATGAGGGCTCTAAGAGTTCTAATGACTAACATCAGATAGCCAAGGGGAAAAGCCAACACTGTCTACCTTTCCAAGTGCACTTGATGCTCTCTAAACACCAGCCCGTCTCAAAACTACCACAGATTCCAGCCTAAGGCTGTTTCTTCCTATCACCTCAGCAACAATAAAAAAAGGTGCAGCTTCCAGGAGGCTGAGTAGACACTACAGGTAGGTTAGCAGTACAAATATTTCCAAGGTATCACAAAGCCCATGCCAGGAGAGAAAAATGGAGACCGGTTACTGTTGACTTTCAAACTGTCTTTTTCAAACCAACGACACTGAGACATTCAGCTGGAAGTCCCTCCCCTATAATACCCCACCTATATCTACTACATTCCCTCATACACTGCTGAGAAAGAGCACAAAGGACTAAATGCCTTCTAGGGGGCATGGCACGGCGGCAGGGGCAGGAGCATTTATAAACTGGTATGCTTTTTCTACCAGCAACTTCATAACATTCGAGGAAATAATTAGGAACACAAAAGGTTAATAGCACAATGTTCTTCAAAGCAGTTTATTAGTGAAAACTGGAAACCTAAAAATTCAACAGTAGTTCAATAAAATGTGGCACATATGAAGAAACAGCATGCAGTCATTAAAAATGTAGAAATACATATGACACAGCAAGACCGTCATGGTACTGTTGAGTGAGAAAGTTACAAAACAGCATGGACAATTGATCCCATTAAAAAAATCTCTAAACGTGCAGTCTGAGGCCACACGCCTGTCACAGCACCTCTCCTCAGATGTTGAAATTGTAGGTCATTTTTCTTTCTTTACCTCTAAATTTTTTCTTTTTGTCAGCATTTTTGACTTGTATTAATAAAAAAGCATTAACAATTCTTAAAAAGTCTATACTTTGATGTAGGAATAAGTACAGCTTAGCAACCTGAGGTACAGAGATGTAGATACGTTAGTCTATATGCTTTACTGGTTTGTCTGGGTGTTTTGATGCTAAACACCAGTTCAAAGGCACTGTGTGGAAGTGAGGTGGTTAAAACTCATCTTTCTGTAGACCAGTGGTTCTCAACCTTCCTAATGTTGCGACCCTTTAATACAATTATTCATGTTGCAAATACTCCCAACCATAAAATTATTTTATTGCTACTTCATAACTGTAATTCTGCTGTTATGAATTGTAATGTAAATATCTGATATGTAGATAGTCCTAGGCGACCACTGTGAAAAAGTTGTTTGATCCCCAAAGGGGTTGCAAAAACAGGTTGAGAACCGCTGCTTTAGACAGATGGGTCCACATTCCTAGAGACCTTATATGGCACCCAGTTCCTGGCATTCTAAGCAATACTTTTTACTAACACTAAATGCATCCTTCCACCTTCATACCCACTTTTAAGACTGGTCTGAAAGTATCTCAGTCCATTAGAGTGGTGGTAAGGCTTACAGAAGGCAAGGGGACGTTTCCAAGATATGACAAATTGCAGGTGCCTGAGGGTGGAAGGCCTTCTCTGTTAGCTCTGCAGTGTTTTGCAACATGACTGCAGCAGGATCACACGAAAGGCTTACTGTACAACTGGGGGCCCTGTTTCCAGAATTTGGCTCAGTAGATCGTGTGGGGTAAGACACAGGTATTAGCAGTTTTTTCCTTTTACCCAACATGTATTTATAGAGCACATACCAAGAGTCAGGCTGTGTGCTAAGAGTAATTTATGATTAACAGAATTAAAGTCGCTATCTTAGGCTACATTCTAGAGTGTCAGGTACATGCTAAATAAATAAATTATAAAAACAACGTAATTACAACTAATAGAACATAATAAAGAAAGTAAAATTCCTTTTGTCTTAAAACATTTAGAAACCTGTCACAGAGAACATTAACACTACTAATTCCACAGGCCCATGTAGACAAAAGTATAAATAAGGTAGGATATTTGAAAACAGCAATCAGCATTTTGACACGGTTCCGGGCAATGCTGATACTGCTGGTTTGGGGTCTTGTACTCCAGGACAAAGTGGAGAAGGAAAGCCTGGCACTTTCCTTAACTTCAGAGTTTCATGGGGAGAGGAGTGCCATGCAGCGAAGGAGAGCCTGGAGCAGAGCTGGCTGGCAGCTGTTCTCCTCTTGACCGTTCTTCACTCTGGCAACTCATTGCAAACTTTCAGGTATTGGGGAGATAAACAAGTGGATTTCCAGGGACATGTGTCAACAAAGTGTAGTACTCTGTTAAGACTCTGCACAACAAGTCTCCTGTCTCACCCTGTCATCTTTTCCCTGCTACACTGTACTGGGAAGCAGCCTTCGAACACTAGTCCCTTTGTTCCTGTTATCTGACGGTTAACCCCAGACTGGAGGATGGGCTGGATCATATTGGGGATGCTGGCCCTAGGTACTTTCCTTGTTCCCCAGAGTGAGGTGCATTCTCACTTTAGGAACCTAATCTGCAATATGAATTTTTTTTATTAGCACCATGAAAATGTTTTAACTATAACCCTGTGGGCTATATTACTTTAAGGACAAAGGTGGATAAAATCCATTTCTTTTTCAGTTTGTGGAGAACCTATAAATACCTCCTTGTTTATTATTTCATGAATATATGCACCCTTCACTCAATACTGTGTTATTGAATTACACTCAGGGGCCAAGGGTTTGTTTACATAACTCTGAACTGCACCATGAATTAATAGGCTTTCCAAGAGCTTTCTTCTATGCCTAACAATCTCCTTGGGCCTTTACCTGAGCAAAAACTAAACTTGTAACTTTAAATCAAAACCAAAATTAATCAAAACACCCAACCAAACAATACAACCTCATTAAAAAATAAAATAAAATAAAAATACAATAAAAATAGAAGACCATGCCTAAAGAATATGGGGGACTTGTGGTATACAAAGGGACAAGGAGCCTCTGATTCTTTAGTGCTACCATACGAATCCTATGGTAGCTGGGTGCAGCCCCAGGGGCCAACACTGCTGATGGAAAGCAGAAGGCCCCCGCTACAGTCCTCACACTGAGTACGGCGGGGAGAACTGGATCTGGCTGGACCTGAAGTGGGTGGAGAGCAGACTTGACAGGGACTAAGCACAGCACAGGTGTGAGCGATGTTCCTCTAGTCCAGTCACAAAGCTCGCACACCATGTGTCAAGAAGCTAGCTAGCTACAGGGACTGGAAAGTGGCATCTGTCTTTATAAAATGTTTACTATGTGCTAGGTTTTCACTTAAGAGCAAAAGATACAAACACTTGTGAAAGAGTCTCCTATTAGGTGACATAACTATTACCTCAATTTTACCTTTAAAAAAAATGGTAGTTATAAATCTGAGTTGAAACCCAAGGAGCGCACTATGGGAGAAAGGCAGGATATGAATTCAGGATCAATTCACTCCATATTTATATTTTCTTCTGTACTGTTCTATCTCTCCAAAACTAAATTTGCTGAACTAAAGATGCTATTTAAATTCACCCAAAATTTTATAGTTCCTTAAAACCTAAATTTGGACAAATCTAACAGATGGTATTAAAAAAAGCTTCATTCACTTGATCCCATCTTGAGCAGCTTTTGGAGTTATATAAGTATGTAATTCAGTGTGAATCAGAGCCCTACCCAACTATAAAACTTCAGAAGAATGAATCTTTCCACATAGAAATAAAGGGGCTGTTAAAGTTGGCACCAAGAACTACATTTTCCATGTTTACCGAGCTCTTAGGCACTCTTAGCACAAATGGACGTTTACAACTGCCATTTAAATATCCACCTTCTTAGAATTGAAAAGTTTACAATTCAAGAGTCTCTGAATAAATAAAATGAATTACACTTTTGAACTTAATTGTTAAGCTAATCTGAAGAAACTTGAGCTCTCTTGGTTCCAGGCCCAGTTCATCTTTTTCTTTCTACCTGGGTCTACTTCTGACTTCTTAGATCTGAGGCAGTTCCTAACACAGTACTTTCTAGTTCTTCCATCACAGTATTAGTCCTGTTATAGGTTAAGTTTTCTGTCTTCTTTAGCACTTCATAGCACTACACTTGGTTGATCAACAAAGTATCTGGTCCTCCACAAATGTTTCTTGAATGGATGGATACATGGAAGAACGATGAGGATTGAAGACCTAACAAAAGAATTTCTCAACTAGCAATTTATAGCAACAATTGCTAATGTATATATAGTATGGTCCTCAGAACAATTCTCTGGCTTCCAATGTGTCATTAGTATTTCCAGAGGGTTATATTTCATAACCAGAGACTCAGTGAAGATACACCACACTCACTGCGTACAGTTAACACTATAGTGAGAGCTACTCCACTAATTCTTATTTTTGCACACATTTGTTGCGTAATAACAAATCTTTACTGCAGTGTAGTATGTTCTCAATGGTTGCATTTCTGATGCATCAAATTGTGCCAACTGAAAAATGTCAGGATTATTCTTAGTGAATGTATTTGTCCCCAGTGTTCTGCAACCTTAACAACATTATGAAATAAAGTAATATTTTTCAAGGACTTAGGTTTAAAAGAGACTTTCAAGTAGTGCTTTAAAAATAAACAAAACTAACCCAAACCAAATGAAAACAAAACTCCAAAGCCAGGAGACCCAGCTAACGCACAGTATTTAAGTCATCTGATTCCTATTGGGCAGCAAGGTAAAAATGAGTTTTTACTTTATTCTTTGGCTATTGTACCTAAAAAATGAGTCACTAGAATCATGCATAATAAATTTATTTTGCATAAAAGAAAAAGTTTGCCATTAATGAAAAATTCGGTAGAAAACAATCCTTTTGTTTTTAAATTGGGGCTCAAAAGTAGAAGTTGCTTGTTAGTGAAACCTCGGTAGAAAGAGAACTGTGTAAGAAAACATTCTTGTCATGAAATCTCTAACATAAATCTGTAATGAAGTATTAACCATGCGATTTTGTTGGCAGAACTGCCAGTTTCTGATGGCTTGTAAATTTTCTTTTTCAGTCCCTTATGACATTAACACGAAAGATACTTAAACCTGCTTTAGAGTTACTGTATATAAATATGGTGTCATGAGGGGCAATCTTTCATGGTCTCCCTATTTAATTGAGAAGTTCTAAGTAGGTAATTGGCACCTTGCCTTTTTGATTTCCTCTCTCCCCCATTAGCCAGTCTGAATCCATTCCAACGACACTGAACACAGTGATTACCTACAAAATATAATATTTCCAATTATTAATTATATTAAAACAAGCATATTACAAACAAATCAAATTTATATTAAATATGTTTAAATTATTTTACTATTTAAGGGTTTTAAACATCCAGTTAGCTGAAATTTTACATTTAGCTGAAAAGTTATGATTTTATCAGTGGCAGTTTCATACATAGGTAGAACTTACATCTATGAACATTTAAACCATTATTTCTATTGGTCTATTATACATAATAAAATTTTAAGTGTCAATATTAACAACTGAAATTCACAAAGCATTCATAATACATTATTTCCAACTTTGTCCTAGTATCAGACTGGGTATGTCTGTCTGGGACTCACTTACCTCATCTGCCAGAAGTGACAGCTCAGTACTGTTTGCAGCGTCATAATCATAGAGCACCCTGGCCTTCCTGCTCCCACTTGATTCTTTAAGGTCATTGAGGTTGGAAGAAGGGATTACTAGGCTACCGGTTGAAGCCATAGCAGAAGGACCAATCGCATTTGATAAAGCAGATGGCACAGGTGTCCCAGAAGACTGATTGTTGTTAGAAAGATAATTGGATGGAAAACTGTTGGAAAACAAATAAAAAACCAAATCCTTAATTACCTATTTTAAAGTGACTGAAGTTCCTCATTATCACCACTTGGTGGCACCGTTTGCTAACTTCCCCACTAGGAAGACTTAGAGACACAGATACTTCAGGGAGGAAGTATGGCCTGTCTTCCCCATTTCCTCTTGGGTGGCACTCAAGCATAAAACCCTTGAAGGCTTGCTTCAAAGCTGTCTCTCTCTATTGACTTAAAGAACATTTTGGCTCACATTCCTTCCCGGGTCAATGTGCGTGGATACTTATTCTTAAATGCTGCCAAGATACATATGCCACGTGTGTGTGTGTGTGTGTGTGTGTGTGTGTGTATGTATAGATATATATATATATACACACATATGCATGTATTATGTAAGTAATATTAATCTCTTTTCCTCTCTATGAGGAAGCAAAATAAATAAAAACAAAGAAAAGCTAAAGAGTAGGTAGTATTGTAAAAATGAAATTTTCTTAATTTTTTGGGAAATACCTGGTTACCTGAGCTTTATCATAAAACCAATAGATCACATTTTCCTATCAGCCAAGTAACAAGTATGCTATAATTATTTTAAGGGACATGCAGATTGAGAGGTTAAAATGTTCAAGTTAATTTATTATGATTGATAATTATAATGAAATGCAAGACTCGAAAGGAGAATATGGCAAATTTCCTGAGTTATTTTTTCTAGTATTTTAAAAGAACCACTTACTACAAACAAGCGACACAATCTAGCTCCACCACATTTACAGACGGCTTGTCCAGCAATGCTCTACTGAAACAGTCGGCCTGTGCATGCTGTGAGCTTCTCTCCTACCAAGTTATACACCCTGGCCCATATTTAGTCAACCTATTCATTAAAATATGCAAGGCTTTTCATCTGGTAAACTGTATGAGATTCATGCCTATGGGAAAATAACATTTGTTCTTAATTTTTAAAAGACTTATACGTATGAATGTTTTGCCTGCATGCATGTATATGCACCACACATTTGTGTTGGATCCCTGGAACTGGGGTTACAGATGGTTGAGCCAGCATATGGGTGTTGGGAATAGAATCCGGGTCCTCTCAAGAACAAGTTTTCTTAACCACTGAGCCACCTCTATAGCCTGATAAGATTCTCTTTATGATCACTGTGTCACGAAGAAATCAGTCAGCTACCAGCAACATCCCCTTTATTACTTTATTTCCTTGAGCCATGTTTCTCTCCTTTACTGCTCTTACGGGTGGGTCTAGAGGCGAAGAGTGTAGGGATTCCAAGCTTCTCATTCCCACTCTTCTCAAAGTAACTCTCCAGAGCTTCACATTATTTTAACTGTATACTGTCCACCACCTTTTTTGCAAACACCTGAAGATGTTTACTTCTAAAATGTAATTCCTGACTACACTACATGATACTATATCCTAATTCTTGGTGATTCTAATAGCCATACATACAGACAATTCTTCAAAACTTTAGCCTCTTACATCCATGAACCTCTTGTTGATTTTACACGAGATCCCAGCTGCTATCCCTCCTCATACTCCCATCACGACCTTATTAATCTCAGTAACTGTAGCTGAATAGGCAGTTGCTGGGATTTTGGACATGTGCCATGACATCTGACCCTTTTGGAAAATGTATCTCGATGAAAGGATTCAGTTTTCCACTCCTGTCACTGTCCTTAGTGGGAGGCAGAGGCAGGATGGGCCGTCTTCACCAGAACAGCGCTGGCTGACTTTGCTTCACCTCAGCACCAGCGATGAAGCTCTGTGTGAGTGGCTCAGTGCCAAGGACTTGATGTCTTTAAGAGAATTAAGTATGAATGGTTAACAAGCACAGCCCATCTTCTGGACTTCCAGAGTATCAGGGCACAGTGGGAAGGAACTGTTACAGTTCCTCAGGCTTAAAATGCTCTGCCTTCAGACACGAATGCTACTAACAAAACACTAAGAATGTACAGATGTAAACAAGGCAGAACTACCAGATCTAAAAATAATAGGCTACAGTTTATTTTGAAGATCTAAAATTAGCTTTTGTGATGTTGGCTAAGTTTGGTCTAGGCCTAATCTGAAGGATAAATTTTCAGAATGGACACGGCAGTGACTCTTAAACAGTATTTCTTGAAACAGTATTTTAAAGTTTTCCTTCTCACCTATTACTCCTCTTAATGGTTGTATAAATGCCAACCACCTTTTAATGGTTCACTTTTAAGGCAACCTTGTCAACTTCTGTAGCCTTACAACAAATCCCTCCTCCACTAACTGCTGTGCTCTCACTAGAGTGAAGTGTTGGTGATTAAAGAGAAACTTGCTGCTTCTCTTTCCTCTGTACCCTGGTTTGCCTTTAACATTCTCTTGCCTTGTTCTTCATCTACATGTCTCCCAGTAAAATAACTCCACCTGGAAAGCTCAGCTAGATGCAGCTGGGCCACAAATAAGATGTCCTCACAACACCCTGCTTCTTCCCCATTTTATATGGCTGGTCTATCCACGGCTGGTGCTCTGCTCAGACTTTATATTATCTCCAATGTCACCTTACAACGTGAGCTCCATCAGGGCAAGTACCCTAGCTTGTTTTGTTTGCTGATATAACTCCAGAATATACTTGGGGCCTAATATTATATAATATGTATTATATAATATTATATTATATAAATGTTTGAGAATTAAATGATTCAACTATGGGCTTTATGTACTATTTTGCTTTAAAGTATATTATCATACTTGAAATAATTATGTAAGGGGCTCGAGGTCTTTGGATTATTCCAAAATTAATATGAAACTTACCTTTAAGGTAACAATGTATTAATGTAGCTGTATTTATTTTCTTCAACTAACAGCAAAAAGTATTCAGTAGTAAGAGAAAAGTTAAGTCTCAAATACATCTACTTTAAATAGCACTAAAAAACTATTCCCTTAATTATTTTCTCATCTCTGGTAACATTGATTTCTGTTACTTCAAAAGTCTGATAATTATAAACAAAACAAACAGGAACTGTATACAAACTAACAACACCCTTAACTCTTTCAGTTATCACCCCTGCTATTGGATTATAGATAAAAATCTTAAATATCTTTTATTAAATTTCATTTATTTTCTCTGGTGTGTGCATGTATGTGTGCCATGGTGGGCATGTGGCAGTCAGAGGACACTCTCAGGTGCCAGTTCTCTCCGTCTACCATGGGCTCTGGGAACTGAACTCAAGCTATCAGGCCTGGCAGCAGGAGCCTTTACCCACTGAGCCAGCTCATCAGCCTCACACATAAAAATAAAAACATGTGAACTTCTTTCATCAGGACTTAAAAAAAGATGTCTCTTTTGTTGTTACTGTGCAAAGTAACGAGTTTTATCCCGGCATTTTCATACATACGTGTCATGCTTTGCTTTCATTCATTCTTCTTCTCTAATGCCCCCTAATGTCCCTGCTAACCTCATGTTCCTGCCAACCCTGTGTCCCTGTAAGTCTCGTGTTCCCAGGCCCAGAAGTGGGGCTTTTCTTGTCTCTGCCTACCATGCTGCTGTCAGGTTGCTGGGATTACAGAGGCATGCTGCTGAGCCTGCTTTATTCGGGTCCTCCACTGGTGGGCTTAGTGCTCACCCACTGAGCCTCCTTCCCAGTCTGCACTCGACCCACATGACTTTCATATAGGAAAAGGAAATTGCTACCTTCCCAGTTGTTTCTGGAGGTCTAACATGTACTGGTAACACTGTGCATAGTAAGTCATCTGGGCTTCTACGAAGTCATTCAGACAGCGGAGATGATGGGCCTGCAATGGAAAAGTACACTCAGTTCTCAGTTCTTCAAGTGCCAAAAGCCAGGAGGAACAAAGGATAACACTGTCATGAGGAAGGTAACCTGCAGTATCCTACTACAAAGCTGATTAATGCTCATATTCCGACCAGGTTTATTAGGTCTAATTACTGGTGAACAATATATTGACAAACTTTGTTTAGCCAAGAAGAAGCAATATGAAGATTTATGAAATGGGCAAAATGGGTGATGATATATAAAATTTAAATATTTCTTCAGATTGCTTCTAAAATCTCACACTTCAAACTCTCCTTGATAGATAACTACGCAAGAAGCTCTCTTTAAAGGCAGTGTCTGTTATGTAGCTCAGGGTGCCCTTAACTTCACAAACTCCTCCTTAGCTGCCTAAGTGCTGTCTCAGCGTCTTTTGTTCAGAATGATTTAATACTCACGTGTGTACTGCTGATTCCCTCTAGCAGAAGTCGGGTAATCTCTGCTTGACGATCAAATTCACTTTGAGTTATTCGTAATTCCTGTTCAGACTTAAATCAGAATACACTTTAAGGATCTCATTAGAAGATTTAGTTCACTTTACACAGGACCCCTCAAAAAATCCCCCCAATATACTCCAAATAAGAATTTGAAAATTCCCTAACTCTTTATGTGTGTTGTGTGTGTGCTTGTGCGCGCGCCTTAACTGGTTTTCTTAATTGTGTCACCAAACACATGCACAGAATTTATTCCTCACCCACACTTGACTCATGCCAAAGCTTTACAGTCTGAAGACATATTATGACAGTCATGATATTGCATACCTTTTCTAGTATTTTGCCGAAGTATTTTATAAAATCCCCAGTACCATAGTTTTTTAAGTATAAAACACTATTATGTTCAAAAATTCCAATTTATTACTGTGTGCTTCCCCCCCATACTTAAAGTTAACAACAGTCTTCAATTACAAAGCCAAAGGATTTCCACCTCTTGTGTTTAGTTAATAACCACTTGTTGCTAAGACAGCTCTTGGTTGTCTTACAACTTAACTTCCTTTTACAATTTCTCTCTAAAGTATGTACAATAGTCTTTAGTCAGGAGCATTATTTATTAGGATTAGGGTTTAAAAGTTTTCTAGCAGTTACGGCTGCTCTTCAGTGTGCTAGTACACTGACTCAAGGAGAAGGAAGTCCACTAAGCCCCTGATTTGATGATACAAATACTCTTCAAGTCACCAAGAACCAGCCGCTGACTTTGGAAAGGAGAAGTAGGTGGTGCTGCTGGCTTCTGTTTGATGCAGGAACAAAACAATTTACTGTAAAGTTAACAAAAATCTAAATATACTAAATCCTGGCATTAAAGATGTCAAAACTTTGGTTAGAAGTAGTTGGTAGGAAAATGAGGAGGAAAAATTAAACTTCACAGTTTATTTGAAACAACAAGCTTAACTCCACTACTGGAAACTATTGCTAGTGAGAATCTCCAGCATAGTGACCACAGGCAGACAACTGACATCACTTCTTAGACGTATCAGAGCAAGGTCAAACACTTTCCTCCCATAGCCTTCTTCCTCTCTTTCATCCTTTGGTGACAAAAGTGACCCCCATAAGCCAGCTAACAAAGAAGTGCACGGTCAGTTGCTCTACCATCCTCTACTGGTAACAGAACTCAGGGAGGGGACTAAGTAAGCACTGATCACTAGACTAGATTTATAAAAATAAGCTTGAATTATATTACACAATAATTAAAGTTAATACATTAACTTCAAGTCAAACCAAATACTTTAGGAGGCCTAAAGTCAATTTTCTCTGGAAGGCAGGAGGAAGTAGAAAAAAGTTCGTGGAAAGAGTGCTCTTTCCCCAGAAGGCATAAAAAATCCCAGTCACCTCAGGTCACATTTGTTACCACACTACTGTTCTGCTTGATGACTACAAAATAGCTTTTCTTAATAGAAAAATCTTCAGGAAATCAAAATAAATGAACTTGAAAGGTAAAGTGGGCTGGTTGCACACAGGCGTTTGTGATGGACTAACAGGACTACTTGCGCACAAACATACACAAATGACAAGCTTAGGTGTCAGCTGAAAGTGAGCAAGACACATGAGACTTGAAATGATGACAATGCTGTAATGGCCAGAAAAGGAAACAAAGACAGTATTAACTCATCTCATTAAAGCCATGGTATTAGTCTTCTAAGTCTGAAAAAATTTAATGGTTAACTTCAGCTGAACAGCACCATACTGTGAAGCCCAGAGAGTCACACTGCACTGTCCAGACTTGAGATTCTGAGAAAGTAAACAGCAGGAATGAGCCTCATCTTTTCAGCAGGCTCCAGTATAACTTCAAGGTTGCTATAAATAGTCAAATGTCCTGAACTGTCTATCCACCTGACCAATATAATAGAGAATAATAAGCATCATCTGGTGTGGGAAGTCCTTCTGTATACGTGTTGCTTTGATTGGTTAATGAATAAGAAAACTGCCTTGGCTTGTGATAGGGTAGAGGACAGCTAGGTGAGGAAAACTAAACTGAATGCTGGGAGAAAGAAGGCAGAGTCAGAAGACACCATATAGCTGCTGCCAGGAACAGATGAGCTGAAACCTTGCTGGTAAACCACAGCCACGAGGCAATACAAAGATTAATAGAGATGGGTTAAATTAAGATGTAAGAGCTAACCAATAAGAAGCTAGAGCTAACAGGCCAAACAGTGATTTAATTAATACAGTTTCTGTGTGTTTTTTTCAGGAGTCTGGGTGGTCAGGAAATAAACAGGTGGCCTGTCCAACAACAATCATCAGTTTAATGAACAAGAAATGATACAGAAGAGAGGCTTAGAGACAATGAATTTTACCAATAATCATTGATCTTCTAGAGTGTCTTTTTTCTTTCTCACTTCATTTACAATTAAGGTAAAGATTAGTGGGGAAAAGACCATCTAATTTCTGCTAGCAAACTACCTATTTACTATGACCCTTTAACATGGGTTGGTGTATAGGAAGAGATCCTTTAAGATGTAACTTGGAAAATGGGCAAACTATATGCTAGAAAAGCTTATCATACTACTGAGGATTTGCTCTAACAATCTTGGCTGACCTACCTACTTACGTATGGCCTTAGGTTAGGTCTTTAGGAACATAAAGTTCTGAATTCTGTACATTTTTTAAATGATAAAATGATAGAAGTTAAAGTACACTAAAAGAACTCAAATCCTTAGACAAATTTACTGCGCTTTCATATACTCTTATATAAGACTATTTTTTTAAATATAAAAATATAAATTTCCCCTACTTTTCAGGGTTTTTTTTTTTTTTTTGGTTTTTTGAGACAGGGTTTCTCTGTAGCTTTGGAGCCTGTCCTGGAACTAGCTCTTGTTGACCACATTGGCCTCGAACTCAGATATCTGCCTGCCTTTGCCTCCCGAATGCTGGGATTGAAGACGTGAGCAACCACTGCCCAGCTTACTTTTCAGTCTTGTAGACATATATATATTTTTTTTTATGAATTTGTACTAAGGAAAGATGCCCCAAGTGGTGGTCTGAATAAAAATTGTCCTTCATTGGCTCATGTACTGAACAGTCCAAAGTTGGTGATGTTATTTTGGGAGGTGTGGTGGTTTGAATAAAATATCCCCCACAGGCTCACAGGGAGTGGCATTATTGGAAGTGTAACCTTGTTGGAGGAAGTGTGTCACTGGAGGTGGGCTTTGGGTTTCAGATGCTCAAATCAGGCCCAGTGTCTTGCCTTTCCTGTTGCCTTTAGATTGGGATGTAGAACTCTCAGCTCTTTCTCCAGCACTAAGCCTGCTGGCATGCTTCTTGCCTTGAAGACAATGGACTAAACCTCTGAAACTGTAACCGCCCCCAACTGAATGCTTTCCTTTATAAGAGTTGCCACTGGTGCAGTGTCTCTTCATAGGAATGAAACCTAAGACAGGAGGTCATGGAATATTTAGAAGGTGCATCTTGCTGTAGGAAGTACAACTCTGTGGTGAGCTTTCTGAGTCTATAGCCTTGCCCCACTTCCTGTTTTTTCTTTCTTTGATTCCTAGGAACGGTTGAAAATGTGATCAGCCAGCTTCCTACTCCTATTGCCCTGCCATGCCTTCCCTGCCATGATGGACTCTCCCTCTCGAACTGTAAGTCAAAATAAACTTTCTACCTTAGGTGGCTTTTGGTCATAGTATTTTTATTACAGCCCAATTTTATGGTTCAACTTATATTCTCTCACATGTTATTCTGCCTTCTTTTCATGCTGGAGGTTCAAAAGAACTCAGAAGCCATGGTGGGACCACACTAGGCTGATTAAGATTCCACACAGGAAGATGAGATCTTAAGTCAAGCATTTCACACTGCACTGCCAAGCCACACAATCAATAGTACAACAAACTATGCATGAAACACTGTAGAATCAGCAATTTTCTAAGTGATAGAATAAAAGTCAAGGCTCACCAAGCTATGTAAATATCTGAGGCCACAGTAAGTACCCACCCTCAATTACTAACATTATCCTCATTTGGAATGCAGACTTTGGTAAGTCTGAGAACCAGAAGTCAAGGACAAATGTCTGAAAACCCCAACTAAGTTTGGAAATGAATCTGCACTAAAATTATACTTTTCCTATTTAATTTCTTAAATTAAAACTTTATTTCCCAGCCAAAAGAAAGTGAGAGATGGTAACAGAGGCAGAGGGGCAGCTGACAACAGGCAGACTGGTGAGCTTTTACAAGTAGCAGTATGACACTAAGGGAGAAGACAAAAAAAACCCAAAAGATCTGTCACATTGTACAATGATGAAAATGTAATTATGATTAATTATGATGTTGATTATAAATAAAATTACTTGTTATGCTGTGTTTTATGCAGGTATGAACTATACATTTTACAGGTATAAAATTTACTTTACATTTTCTACTAAAGTGAAAGAAAATTTCATTTTGGTGCTCAAGAGAACTACCTTTACTTCCCTAAAACCCAGTTCTCTGAAGACAGGTGGTCACAACATTCAGTATTCTTTACATTTGTAAAAATAATTGTCAATGAATAAATCAAGTATTTCACCTGTCTTCTAGCAAAGCATTAATATGGTGCCACTTGCTTAACTGTTGTCTAGGATTCCCCATGGTATATACAGCATCTTTGGAGCTCAATTCCACTGTTGTATGAAACTGCTAATAGTAAACAAACTTGATAATTTCCTTAATTTTCCAATTTTAAAAGAATTGCAACATAGTTCATAATTGTGAGTGACTCCAAAGCTCGTGCCCATTTAACATTTATTGAATGATTGTCAATTAAACTCTTGTTTCATGATTCTGTAGTTTAAAATTTTACTTACTTTTGTCACTTCCTCTGCCCAAATCTAGCCAGCATTAAAAATTAGAGAGAAATTTAGAGCATGAAATGAAGTTGGAATTTAACATTTCCTACAACTTAGTACAAAAAAATGTATTTAATTTAAATGGCATAGCCTCCCCCTTACAAAGTGAACACAATAGTAATGTAAATCAGTATAGCTGAATATATTTTGAAGTCTGCCTTTTATATGTATCAATACTACCAACTTCAAAATATTGTAACTCTACAGATAACTTAAGTTTTTGCAAATTGAGAATATTTGATCTTTCATAGAAAACCGACAGAGTCTCTAATGTAAAGTGAGAGGTTTGAACTACATGATTTCTAACTTTTCTTTTATGTATAAATTCTAAAATTTTAGTAAATAAAAGGATATACAGACATTGAATGTTACTGATACAACTATTTTTTGTATAAACAATCAATTTGAAATATAATAAATTTAAGGTTGTCAGTTAAAGATCTTATTCTAAGTAGATGATAAATGACTGTAAAACAAATGCTTTTAATAAATCAAGCAAAGTTTTGCAAATTGCTTAAGATATTTTTACCATGGACAAAAGAAAACCTGATTTATACAAAATTAAAAATGACTGAAATAGTCTCACCCTTTTCAATTACCTATAGATAGGTCAATGGAAATAAATAATACGTTCTCTTGCTATATAATGAAAGTTGTAATTTAGCCAGCACTTCAAAAATTAATAGTTGGGAACAAAGGCAAATTCCAAAACATCAGGTTTATTTTTCATGTTTTGATTCAATGCTAATAGAATAAAAGCAATCAACGAGCCATTAATTATTAAGTAGACTGTTGATTTCTTGTCACTTTAAATGGCAGTAATTTATTTATACTATAATTCCAAGAATTAATTTGCATGTGTCTGTGCGTTTGCATGATGGGGTGGTGGTAGTGGTACATATATAATAGAGGGTGGAGATTGACTTTAGGTGTCTTTCTTGTCTGCTCTCCACCTTACATTTGACCAGGGTCTCTTATTGAAGCTGGAACTTACCAATTAGCACTAGGGATTTTCCTGTCTCTACCCTGGCCTCCAGTGCTGGGGTTGTAGATATGCACTACAATATATGGATTTTTGATGTGGGTGCTGGGGAATCCAAACTCAGGTCCTCCTGAGTGCATGGCAAGCACTATACTAACTGAACCATGCACCCAGCTCCAAGGATTATCAATTGCTAGAGGCTAACATGAATTAACTCTTTTCCTATCTTCACATAATTTTATTTTATTAAAGTAAAAAACAAAAACCAAAAACAAATGTAACATCTCAAAACTTTCTTCAATTTGAGCTCAATGTGTACGTTAGTTATTATAAACAACTTTCATTCTCTTATTCCAAGCTATCACTACTCTGAAATTTTAAGGGAGTTAGTACTGGACATGGAGTAGCCCTGGCCATGGGAATCTATCGCATCCTGGGATGGCAGAAAAAAATTCTATATTGAATTCCAATAACAATATGATAAATATTGAAGTTATTAAACAAAAAACAAAGTTAATTTGTATACTTTTACTGTTTTCCAAGTAAGGTAAATCTTGGTGATTTTCACTGCTACAAGTGGCACAATGAAACTGCAGTCTAAACTAACACTACACCAATGATTTTAAAATCTGTTTTAACATGACCTACAAATCTGGCAGATCTTCAGGTTTCAGTATCACCTCAAGTGGTATTTTTCCCCAGACATAATCAATAATTAACTTTAGTTATTTAGATTTCTACATGCAGCTAATAGCAAGAGAAGGCATTTTACTGAAGATGTAGAAAACACAGTAGGCCAACAAACCTTCAGCCATTTTACATGCAGGAAGTTGAGCATGTAAGAGAAATTTACCATAATGCTATCTCCTTCAAGGCGGGCGGAGTTTAGTTGCTTAAGTGCATAGGTGGGAGACAAAGAACACATTATATCTATGAACACACCGGAACAAGTTACTTCTGTACAATAAAGCACATGCTCAACAGGCGTTAAGAGAGCTGCTGTTCTTTCTAGAAAAAACAAACTGTATTTGTTTTTCTACATATTTCATATAACGGTGCCTACCAAAAGATAAAGAATTTTCAAAATAAAAACCAGTTGGTATTTTATTTCAAACCAGACTTGTTTGGGGGAAACATACCTCTTTAAAAATTACAAATTAACTAACACAATTAAATTTTTATCTATAAATGCCTACTTCATACCAACAAACTTCCTATTAAACCTCATTTCTATGCTGTGTATTTTTGGCATCTCTAACCATTTCCTGTTTCAGTTCTCAGTCAGATCTTCCTCATACTATGAAAGTCACACAGTCCCTGTAATTCTAAAAAACTGAAAACACAAATGTGTATAGGTAAAGTTACGGGTGCGGACAGTGTTCTAATCTACTAGGATTACAGGGCAAATATTTAGATGGCTGTGGCAATACTTATGTCCACGGAGAGAACATACGCTATGTGAATTACCTGAAGGACCGTTTTCTCAGATTCCTTTAAATGCTAGAAAACACTAAAAACAGCGTTTTTTCTCATTAAAAATTTAAAAAGCTAATATTAAGTTACCAAATATAATTTAGATGCACTAATCCAAGTTTTTTCTTGATTCTCTGGCAAACTTATTTACTTTTTTTTTTTTAAGAAAAACATTTCTCATTCACCCCATGCCAGCCTCAACGTCACTATGTAGCAGAGGGAACTCTAACTCCCAAGTCCCAAGTACTGGGATTAGAGGTGTATCTATGTCTGGCTTATTTTACTTTATTACTATTTATTTTGTGATGCAGGAAACAGAATCCAGGGCAGCAGTCTCTAGTGAGGTCACACTCTTACACAAGTCCTACTGCATCAACAAGCTGTTCATTTCCTTTTTCACTAGGCTGGCATATTTTGGGAAACACCTGTGATGCTGTTTTACCTTTCTTCAATACAGTAACCAGTACAGAAATTAGCCAATACTAGACACAGGTAGGTCAAAAACTTTTTTACTGATTGAGCTAAATCATCAAAAAGTTTAATCTAAAAATTTGTGAACTGAGGGTAGCAGAAATTTTTTGCACTATTAATGAACTTCGTATTAGAGTACATCTCACATAGAGAATTAAAAGAGCGAGAACAGGAAAACAGTAAAGGACACATTTTAGAAAGTGGAATAAACCTGGCTCCCAGACCTCACTAGGACAGTAATGGGCAGTCACAAAATAATACACATTAAAAAACAAAACAAACAGTGAAATTAAACAATATTTAGGGTACTTGCCAACTCAACACCAAGAAAAATATCAGAAAAAAAGCAAAAAAAAAAATAAGTAAATAAAAAGCAAAACTAAACTTGCAGTAGTCTGTATCATTTTCATTTACTTGAAAGACAGGGCAAAAAGTAATTCAGACTTACGGCAATAATGTCTGAAACAGAATGAAAAGAATGAACTATTGGGAAAATAGTAACAGATTTTTGTCTGGGCTAATACCTTCATTATTTGTCTACAGATAAATCTGATTGTACAATGTAGTAATTCTAAAAACCTTTACATAAATTGCTGGGTTATACCACCTGTATCATCTTTTAATTCTGAACATGAAATTTCATGGCTATATCAACTGCCAACAAGTTTTTCAGATGTATCAAGAAGAATCACTTCTCAGAAGACGACTCTATTTAGTGGAGCCACACGTCAGTAACACCAAAGGGCAGGTACAGCTAGATCTGTGTGCTTTCCGGCACTTTTCTAGGTTGAAAAGCAGCCATCATAAAGAAGCATCATAATGGTTGTTAAATAAATGTTTGTGTTGGAGCCTGGTAATATTATTCTTATTCCATAATCATCAAAGATTTTTTCTACTCTAGATATTTTTTCGCAATGATTCTTGTTAAGACTTTCCTAATTATAAAATTTGTATCTTAAAGTAAATTCAAACGAATTCATTTATCTTAACAACTAGAAACCAGTAGGGTCTCTTGCTATCTACAGCATTCTTTTATAAATTTTAATTTTACAGATAGCGTGCTTAAGGGGAATCACACTGTGTAATGATGTCATGATAAACGGAGACATGGAAATGAGAGTGAATTTGCATTTAATATCTTATCAAAGCTAGCCCTTCCCTAGCGGTAGCTAATACAAAGCACCAATTTCACCACAGAGCAATTTTCAACCTTTCTTTCTCCAAAGAAAACTATTGACATCACTAGTATTGTAACTATATGTTTATTATAAAATGATTGTGGTTGTGGTGGGAAGTCCCTCTTAACAAAACACATCCCTAAGTTCAAATTAAAATGTTAATTCCTCTAACAAACTCACACTCACTTATACTATTTTTCAAACTGTTAGAATTTAAATCTAATTTAAGTGCTGTATATAATAGAACAAAAATATACACAGCACGCCTATTAGACTAGGTTTAAAACTAAAACTACTTAATAAAAGTTATGCATAAAAACACTGGACTATAATTTTAATAGATAATTTTAAAAACTATTTTAAGGCTGGTTTTCTAAAAAATATAGCAAAACTTATTAATTCACATGGGTTTCTTCCTCTGAAAAAGCTACGAGGGAAACTATGTTAAGACTATTCAATCTTTTTTTTTTGTTTGTTTGTTTTTTTGTTTTTTTGAGACAGGGTTTCTCTGTGTAACAGCTCTGGCTGTCCTAGAACTAGCTCTCATAGACCAGGGTGGCCTCAAATTCACACAGATCTGCTTGCCTCTGCCTCCTGAGTGCTTGGATTAAAGGCGTGCATCACCACCGCCCAGCTAACACTATTCAATCTTTTGGAACTATTCTTGATGATAATTCCTTTATTTATTTTGAGTTAGATATGGAAAGAAAATTACTTTGTCATAGGCAAATATTCTCAAACTTGATTCATTTTAATCTTGATTAAAATCTTCTCCCATAATTATTTTTTAAAAATCCTATAATTATTTTTTTTTAAAAGCCTATTAGCCATGCACACCAGGAATGAAGCACAGAGCAGCTACAGTGTCACCTCAGTGCTGGGGACTGAAGCCTCCTGATAATGAGCACTAGTGTTTACTTGGATGTATTTAGTTCTCATCAATCTCTTTCAAGACAAAAATACATTCCAAATGCCATAGTCTAGTCTATACCTTAAACAGTGTACTAGCAAAATACTTTTGAAGTTATTAAGTCAAAGTATTTTTCTATTAGAAACAGATAAACATACACTACTTACTGAACTTTTAGTTTCTGCAGCTTTTGCCTTTTTAAGTCTCGTTTTTGCAGCATCCAAATCCAGTCTCTTATTCTGTAACAGTTTTCTTTCTTTCTACAAATAATCAAAAAGAACAAAGTAAAAGCTAAGATTATCCACATTTAAGAAATCACCCTACATGGAGGATGTGTGCAAGCTCATAAAGACACCCTACAGGTATCTTTCCTTTTTGCTTGGAGATAGGACATCCACTATGTAGACCAGATCAGACTGGCCCTGAACTGTGGCAATACTCCTGCTTCTGCTTTCTGAATGCTACGATTATAGGCACATTATATCCGACATTCCCCTTACCCGCCCCATTAAAACTACTTCAAGACATTCCAGATTCTGAATCCAAGGAATTTGGAAAAGATGTCTCAGAAATAAAGGTGTATTGGTTTTAATATCTTGCCGTATGTTTCCCTCCTACCAGGCTTCCCTCTGGAACATCTGGCACTATCGGTCTTCGGATGCTACAATTAGGAGGTGTTAAAATAGCATTTACTTGGCAGAAGCCAGGGACGTTGCTAACCATCCTACAATGCAGTCTAGCTCCCACAACCGAGAGCCATTTGGCTGAGTGTCAGAGGTGGCTAGGGCTAAGAAGCTGTTTCAGATTGTTAGAGGGGCCTAGGACAAGGCTCTGTGAACTCCCTTACAGTCTGGGCAAGCTGCAAGTTACAGCAACAAATGTAACTCAATTACTCTAAAACAGAATTTCAAATTTATAGACAAAATAATACATAAACATAACTCAAGTTACTGTATAATGCTTTATACTAAATATAGTTGAGTCTGTTTTCTTAACTTTTATATTTCATATATCAGATTTCATTCTATTGACATGTTACTTGTTTAGTGGAAGGAACTGAACCCCAGTCTTCATCATGCTAGGTAAGCACTCTCATACTGAGCCATTTTCTTGGCATAAGCTAGTACCTTCTTTAGTTATACCAATTTAGGCCAAGCCCAAACTACTTATGTATACAGAGATGAAGTCATGCTTAAGCATACTGAAACTTCTAGGACACTCTGTAAAACAGAATATGCAAATTAAAGTTTGAGCGTGTATGTATACCAATGAGTAGCACTGAGAAAGTCTTATGGAAAAATAGCAGGAATAAGACAAGTTCATGGACTAGCAGATTAAATTTAGAAAGACAGTGACAACATAAATGTTTATGAAATAAATAACATTTTAAAAATATTACACTTCCTGGAACACATAGATAAAGTATAGGAGCAGAAATAATTAGTATAGCTGTTGTTTATAAATAACTCGAAGTATAGAAGTAGAACTAATTACTAGGTTTCTAGTTTCAGTTAAATTAATATGCAAGTATACTATAATGCTACTTTGCTTTCATAATCATTACAGGAATTTCTGTTGTAAAACGGAGTGTGAGAGACCTTGGTGTGCTAGAGCCAAGGGGCCTCAGGGTGGGTGAGAAAGAGACATACCAAACAAACAGCACTCATGCGCAGGGTTTCTTTATTGGGTGGAGGAGAGGAAGGGAGTGCAGAGTGGCCTCGTGGGGGGGGGGGGAGAGAGAGAGGAGGGAGAGAGAGAGAGAGAGAGAGAGAGAGAGACAGGGATGTAGAGAGACAGACACAGACACAGACACAGACACAGACACACACACAGAGGTGTAGAGAGGCAGAGAGACTAAGAGAGACACAGAGAGGCAGAGAGATGGGCAGGGGCTGGGGAGAAGGGAAGAGAGAGAAGGGTTGTGCCTTTTAAAGGGAGGAGCACAGTGCATGTGCACAGAGACCACACAGCAGGTTAGGGTATTGCCTGCTTACAAGGCATGTGCACAGTAGTGATGCATTCTGCCAGGTCTCCAAAGGGTGGGCTAGGTGTGCCTGAATACTAACAAATCCACCATAGATTTGAGAGTTGGTAATGCATGAAAATCAATGCACAGGCATATCAACAACAATGCAGGACTGAAAAATGGGGACTGTGTTACTAATAACTCTTTAAGGTTTGTGCTTGGATGAATAGGCACCTGTTCAGAGTATTTAAATGTTTTAATCTACAACATTTACCAGCACTAGGATTATGCATTAAAAACTAAGCATATATCTAAATTATGTGACAAATGGAATATTTCCCAACTCACTGCGATTGTTTTGTAATCCCCTTCTATAAAGTTTCTTAAAGGAGTGAGGAAATTTAAGGCTGATGTTTGAATCAGCTCTCTGTCAGCTGTTCCGATTCGTTTCTGTGTTTCTCCACATTTAATAAGGGCATTACCTGCAAAAGAAAAAAAAATTTAAAAAGCAAATTAAAAGTAAATATCTAAATGAAAATGACAAAGATGAACTAACTGCCTAGCACATCATAACTATAATTTTTGTTGTTGTTGTTTTTGAGACAGGGTTTCTCTGTAGCTTTGGTAACTGTTCTAGAACTAGTTTTATAAATCAGGCTGGCCTCGAACTCACGGAGATTCGCCTGCCTCTGCCTCCTGAGTGCTGGGATTAAAGGTGTGCGCCACCACCACTTGGCCATAACTATAATTTCTAACAATCAAACCAAGAATGCTTGAAGACATTTACAAAGCTTTATGTGAAATTCATTCATTTTGTTATCATAAGCTAGGGGTGATGGTTAGTGTTAAGTGTCAACACGACAGAGTCTGGGTGTGTCTGTGTTGTGTTAATTGAGGAAAGAACACACATCTTCACTGTGAGTGCAACTCTTCCCTGGCAGGGACTGCAGACTCTGAAATACAGGATGAGCTGAGCACTAACTAGTGTTCATCTCAGCTTCTAATACAGATGCATGAACCATCTCTCTTATGTGTCTTTGCTGTAATCTGCAAGTGTGAGCCAAAAGAAACTCTTTCTCCCTCAGAAAGAAAGAAAGAAAGAAAGAGGAAAGGAGGGAGGGGGAAGGGAAGGAAGGAGGGGTAGGTGAGAGGAAGGAGGGAGGGAGAGAGAAAAAAAGGAAAACAGGCAGGCAGGCTCATGTTTCACAAGAGTTTAGTACAGATATTTAAACAGAGTTAGAGCAGACAGAAAGAGCGTGTGATCAGGATTCTATTTCCAATTCTCCTCCAGTAAACTTAGGTTCTTTAGATCTTAATCCTTTTATGTTAAAATGGGATTAGATCCACATTGTTAAGGAGTTAAGAGCCCTGTCTCTGAATTGTTATCAGGGTTGTCACAGATTATTTAGCCTCTTCAAACCTAAATTTCCTTGTTTTTAAAATGGGCACAACAGAATTTATACTATTAAAAATGTTACATAGCAAGACTCTGTTTCAAAACTCCAAAAGATATAAAAAGTGAGGATTTACCAAAATAATAAATATATTATATTGTGCTTAGACCAATGCCTAGGATACCCATTTCTGGCCATTATTTTCTAGTAATAGATTCTGTATAAGTTCAGAACAAGCAAGCAATAAAGCCTGAAATTTCTTTAAAATTAGCAGTCACACTTTAATTTCAGAGTTAATCATTTCAGATCTCTCAGATTTAGAATTATAAAGAATATACTGTAAATATTTCAATGCTACACACACACAAACACATATATTTATTCAGTCAACTAGTGGCATTAAATAATATTTAGGTTTGTTTCCTTCTGACATAAAGAGAATATTAGCACAGAAATCTGAAATAGTGTTATGCCATAAGAAAATTAGGTCTGATAATAGAAACATGGAACTTTGAGGTCTGTGTAGGGCCAGAGTTGGCTTAACAGGTAAAGGTATTTGCTGCCAAGTCTGACAACCTGAATTTGATTCCTGAATTTGAAGGGTGCTAATTCCTTCAGGTTGTCCTCTGATCTCTGAATAAGCACTGTGGTATGTACACCACACACATTCATATAGACGTACATAGTCACATACATGTACCCAGAGCAAAATAAAACAACAACAAAAAACTTCAAATGTAATACAAGTTGCTCCAGCAATAACAAGCTGGTCACCTGTAAACAGTGACGGAAAACAGGAACTAGAAATGCCGCGCACTTACGCATCCAGAGAGGATGACCACTGACACACCTGGGCTAACACTGCAGCAGTTACAAGCAATGTGGTCTGGCCGATCACTTAGCATGTGAAGTGCTTTAATATCAATAAGCACTCAAAGTTTTAATGTAAGACATTACAACAATTTCTACTATAACAGAGGCATTGAAAGCTAGTAAGAATATGACTTCATTTAACATTTAGATCTAAAAGATCTAAGATGTGAATGTTCTAAATAACTATTTTTCCATCAGAATTTTAACATAATAAACAAAGTTAAGATTGGCTCTACTGTATGCTCACATCTTTAAACAGAACCCTCAGTTCCACTCACCATAAGCTGTCCCTGGGCCGAACTCGGTCCCGGCATCGATCATATACTGTCCCAGAAGCTCCGGGTTGTTTACACGACTCGGGGCTTTTCTATCCAGTTTCTCATAAACAAATTCTTCTATCCTGGCATCTAGGAGAAAGGTTACAAATACCAGTGTTTCAAAAGACAGACCTGTAACTCCAGTACTGGGGAGGTGGAGTTCATGGCCAGCCTCTATTACACAGAGAAGACCTTTTCCCAAAACCCAAAACAAATGAAAAGAATTTTAAATCAATCAGCAAGTATTTCAAAAAAGCAAAATTATTTAGAGGTTTGTTCCCCTCCAGTCACTTACTACTTCTTAAAAATATAAAATTAGCATTTATTCAAGTATATATCTTTAAATTTAATAATATATAATTATATGTTGACTATTATATAATCTCTAAAAGTTTATAGTTCAGAAACCTGGTAATATACCTTAGTATAGAAACATTCTCAAGTTAAACTTGTTATTTGGGTATTCTTTGAGATCTTAAGTTTCAGAAGAAGAATTATAAACTTAATATCCAGTGAAGCTGCCTTTAATCTACTCTAAAGTTATGTTCATCATCTTAAATAAAATCAGGGCTAGTCAGCTACAAAAGCCATAGCTGACATGTTTTATCATGAACATGCATGAATTCTCTCTTACAGAGAGTCTAAATACAGACACAGAGTCTAAACTTCAGACCCAGCAACAGTGTGATCCCTAAAACTTGTGCCCACGTGCATGCACACAGGGACATGTGGCAGTCAGAAGTGAATGTTTGGTGTCTTCCTAAGTGACAGTGAAAAGCTTTCCTTCCTTCCTTCCCTTTCTTTCTTTCTTTCTTTCTTTCTTTCTTTCTTTCTTTCTTTCTTTCTTTTTCTTTTTTTTAAAGAAAAAGGTCCTGAAACAGTAATGGAAATACAAGTTGGTGAAAATAATGTTATAAAATTTATAACACAAAAAAGGGTTAGTCTGTAGTACACAAAATATATTAATTAGACAATGTCAAAATAATCCTTGATTTTTGGCAGAGTCTGCAGCAAAACCACAAGAATTTTAAAGCAGAACTTAAACACCTTTTGTTAGTTAGGCACAGAGGCTCACGCCTATAGTCTCAGAACTCTGGAGGCAGAGGCAGGAGATTATCTGTAAGTTTAAGGCCAGCCTGATCTGCTTAGTTAGTTCCATGTTAGCAGAGCTATACAGTGAGACCCCACTTCTAAACAAAAACAAAAAACAAAACCCCAAAACCTTTGCTGACAACCAAGATGAATCATTTTGAAAGAACATCCATGAGTGCTGTCCAGGTTTTAGGTTTCTGATTGTGATTTTCAGCTACAATTGCTTTTGAGTTATATGATCAAGAATTAAAAGGTGAAGTCTAAATTGATTTTGATTCAGTAAATAAAATATGTGGTAAATTAGTAAATACTGCTTCCATTCATTAAGTCATTCCCCAGATCTGAAAGTATGCAGGCAATTCTGCTATAATGTTATGCACTTATGCATTTTCTTTAAACTATAAAACCTATAGGACTTTCAGAGAAAATAAGAGGTTACTTTAAGCCCATGAATTTTATAATCAGAGCACAAAACAATCAACCTGGCTTACTAGGAAACAATGAAAAGGAGGATAGTTGGGCACTGTATTACAGTTCTCGACTTGCCAGTCATGGGCTTACTTGCCATTCTGAAAAATACACCGCATACAAACTGTTCTATGTATGTGGGACCTCTGGGTAGAAAAAGAACTAGAAGTAAATTTTAAAGTATAGCTGTATATAACTTAAATGTTCTTTAATGAGCAGAGACATTGAACTGTGTCCCTGATAACCAAAGATAAGAAGCCTCATTCGAGGCTTCCATACTTATTTTATAAAAGTTACTACAGTTTAACTACAATGGCATACGATTATTAGTATTTTTGTAATGCTTGAAATGTAAGGCTATGGAATTTTGCAATGTGTTCACAAAAGCAATAGGGAAAGGAAAACAGGCATTGTAGGCTTTTCCCTTTAGTTTTGATATTTAAAATGTACCTTAAAAAGACGAGCTGTCTATATTTGCTTCTAGGTGAAGCTCCCCTTCTAGTTAGCTACTTTGCATAAGAGGCTCACTTAGCAGTCCCATTTCTAAGAATTAGTGCACACCCTATTTGCAAGGCTATTGACTTGTGTGATCCTAAACACTTGGCGATTGTACAAAAATTAAGTGCAATAACTTATGGGAAAATATGAGATTTAAAATGTGAGGACTCTAAAGTGCTACTGTAAACCTGTTAGGAGGTATACAGAAAATTTCACCATCTCTTCCTAATCCAAATCACACTTGATAGAAAAGCCATAGACCTGAAAGACACAGACTCTACTTTCAACCTTAAAAACGTTTACCAGCAATACGTAGGCTGGACAAGAAGCAAATATCTTACTTGGATTTGGCTGCAAAAGCACTTCAGTCTGTTTCATTATCTTTTCTGTCCATATTTTGGTACATTCGGCTTTGCTAAGAAGGTTTTCCAAGTGAGCATCCAATTCCGTCTTCTCTGCTTGGCCAAGCTTCTCTTCTGTGAACTGTGATTATTTAAAATAAGTATATAAATATATAAACACATCTCAAATATATGCTAGGAAATTGTTAATAAGTGAAAATCAAATTCAAATCCAAATAATCCTAAGCATATAAACAAATAAACTCCAGGCTTATCTGTAAACCATTACTTATGAAAGTTTTGTGTGTGTGTGCATGCCTATGGTAATCCATCACCCTTACTACAGCACTTATGATGACTATTTTATGTCTTCTGCTAACATGCATGATGTGAATTCTAAATTTCATGGTACATAAACATTCCTAACAATACTGAGATTTGAACTGGTGAAATCTGAGTTTAGATCCTGACTATATGTATGCTAACTGACACAGGCAACTTTCTTATAAAAGTGATATAACATATTATAATCTTTTTGAGATAGGGTTTCACTGTGTAGCTCAAAACGGTTTTTGACTTTTTTCAGCTTCCCAAATCATAAACATTTTGAGGATTAAGAAAGACTGTCTACAGAAAAAATATCTGTTTAGAACCTGCTAATTGCTACTCAAATTTGAAATATTTAAATTTTGACTTATTTATTACTTACAAGTTGAATCATACCCAAGCTACACATTTGTGGGACCTATGCAGACACCACTTAGGTTTGTTTCTTCAGGGTATGTTCTAACAAGGTGTTTATAGGTTATATTTTGCTACATTATTCACACAGTAGAAGTATTTTTATAAGACTTATTTTTTAAAACAAATTTAAATATGTGTATGTGTGTGTGCATACATGAGTGTAGGTGCCCAGAGTCCAGAAGAGGTAACTGATCCCTGAAGTTGGAATTACAGGGAGTTGTCATCCATCAGACATGGGTGCTGGGAACTGAACTCAGGTCCTCGGTCTGCAAGAGCAGTTAGTATGTATTCTTATCCACTGGGCCATCTCTCCAGGCCCAAAGTGGAGGTGTTCTCTTTAAAGGTAAGAAAATGAGGTTGGATACATTCAACATACCCATTTTTATTATATGGCTGTGACGGTGGCTAAGGAAAGGCAGCAGTGTCTATATAATAAGAGAAAAAAGGTCTCTGTTCATATGGAGTCTTCTGGGTACTTTCAACTAATCACCAGATGTGATATCTGAAGTGCTACACCATCTGTAACTCTCTTCTAGAATATATGGTGTTTGCCCTTTACTGTAGAAAAATCCAGTGGTTAGCTAATAAAACAATGTCTACCTTTCTCTCCCCTCACTTACAATCCTTTCTTTTGCTTTATTTTTCTGAGTCTTATATCCATATCCTTGGGCCTTACTATTACTAAATACTTTCAAAGGATTATCAGCACTCTTAGCTGAAGGGTCCACATATTCTTTACTAAAGAGCCTATATAGGGCCAGAGACCAACTACTTCCTTGAGACCCCCAAAGTTGCCATATACTGGACACAGGCAGTACCCTGTAACTAAGAACTGCGTAGCAATAATGGCAAGCCCCTGATGCTGAGGTCAGCCATATAAACTGCACTCTCATTCTGAGGATGCAGTCTGGTATTCTTTACTTTAGGGATTCTAAGCAGCAGATCTTTTGGAGAGGCATATATTAGAATTTTACATGTTAAAACTTCACCTCCAATGGTGAGGTAAAACTCAGAAAGCACAGAGACAAAGGAAACACACTTAGATGAACATCTTTAAAAGATGATCAAGAAAAACTTCTTTTAGCTTTTAAAATATATGCCAGTTGTTCCTTTATTCCATCCATTCCTTCAACAAATATTTAGTCTTTCCTTAAAAAGTTAAAATTACATTTTATTTAGTGTATATGCGCATGCATATGCACATATGTGGCAGTCAAGAGTGCAACTTGTAGCAATAGGTTCTCTCCTTCTATATGTATGTATATACATATATATACATCACACACACACACACACACACACACACACACACACACGCTAGTTACTAACTAGTACTCACTAGGGTAAGCACTTAGGTTTCCAACAAAATAGGCAAAGTTTCTGTTCTTAAGAATCTAACATTTTTGTAGGGAAGAAACAAAGCTTAAACAATCAGCATATGCTCAACAGAAAACCAACCAGACGACTCTGCTGTTTTCTGAGTGATGTAATAAATCTAAGTAGAGAGGAACAGCTATTGAAGAGGAGAAAACAGGAGAATCGGGGACATCGTCACCGAGGAAGAAGCAAGGTACAGCCTGGGAGGGGAGTTTAGAGAGACGGCATCGGTGAGGAAGGAGCAGCTTACGTGCCATGTTTATACGTATCAAATATTAATTTCCTTAGAGAATCTGTTGTGACTAAGACTAGATTTTCAAAGAACAGATTAATAACAGAAGTCAACATCATGAATTTAAACATCATTATCTATTAGGTCAGTGGTTGTGTGAGGTACTCTTCTAGTAAGTTTGGTCTGTTACAAGGTAGAACTAACTGAAACGTATTATCTAAGGGTGAGGAAAATACAGCCCCTCCCTGTCTAGTATGCAAAATCTCAGTTTTGTCTAACATGTTTAGAAACACTAGATTTACAGTACAGATTAGAAACTATTAAAACATGTTTATGACAGTGACTCAAGAAATTGTCACTGAATTTATCAAAACAAGTTAGGATTCAGGCAAGTTTGGGACAGTATTTCAGAGCTAATGATTAGAAAGTCAGTTATTTGGGAAAAAATACTTAATAATCTCAGTCTAGTAGGCCTGTTGGCTTATTATTTTTTATATTTTGGTCTTAAAAATATAGTGAGAATATAAGAGAGCAAAGATGATATTTCTAACAAGTCATATATTTGCTATGGACTTAAGAGTCTTCAAAGAAACAAGAAAAAAGCGAACTTTATATAACTTATAAATAAATATATAACTGTGACACCTAATCATGGTTGTCAACTTCATATACCCGGTCAAAACAAAACAAAACAAAACAAACAAACAAACAAAAAACCAAAGGAGGAACTCCCTCCATCAGACTGGCCTGTAGGCATGTCTGTGGGGCATTTTCTTGTGAACCTGAGGTAGGGGACCCAGCCCACTATCATCTGTAGGCAGGTGGACCTGGTCTCTTCCGTGGGTTCCTGCCTTGGCTTCCCTTGCTGGTGGACTGTGAACTCTAAGACTAATAAACCCTTTCTTTCCGAGTTGGTTTTGATTATGTCTTTATCACAGCGACAGAAAGCAAACTCGAACAGTGACTCATATACAGTGAGACTCTACAAAAATAAAAACTTTTACTTTAGTGAGCAGACAATGAACAAAACAAACCCTCAAAGACAGTAACAGTAACCTCCTCATGGATTACTGTTAGGAGTCTGAATGTGGAAACTTGCTAGAAAACAGCGCTGAAGGAAGGCCCACATGAGCAGGCACTGAAGAACCTGCAAACATCCCCACATTCACATTCAGTTTTCTGTCGTTACTATACTCATATATATGCCTCATATTTCAGTAAACATAGTTTTGTTATTAGCTTTTCAAAAATTTTAACACATTTGCTATTATCATCATTATTGAGAGGCAGACAATCATGCATATATACCCAGTCTGGCCTTCAACTTGATTTTCCTGCCTTACCTTCCTGAGTTCAGGCATTGGGGTATGTGCAACCATGCGTAGTTTATTTTTACAATGACTTTTTTCCCCCTCAATGAAGATAATGCATCTTTGTCATGCTTCTGAATTTCCCAATGTCAGGGCTCAGTTTATGTTCAAAAATTCCAGATACTAAGGTATGTATCATTAAAAAAAAACCTTACAGGATAGGGATAATAATTCTAGTGAGGAATAAGTTGAGAGTTGGAGTTATTTAAACATTTTATCTGAGGTGTCAGAGTTGGGATTGAATAATTTTATGCTGACCTCAAGAAGTTAGTAATCTTCATTTTACTCCCATAATTCAAATATACCATACCCTGGGCTTCCTTGTTTGCAGCACTGTAGGTCTATCTTTGCTTCTTACAGGACACTCAGTTAATTACCAAATTAAGGATGGCTTAAATGCTATCTTGAATTTTAAAAAAAACGTGGGAGGGGCTAGGGCAGATCCACAGTAACACTGCTAATGTTATATTTCTGTTTATCAAAATGCAAACGTATAAAAATAATAATTTCCCAGGATCTTACATTTGGGGGCCCAACTTCTCAAAAAGTATAATCTGATGCACAGTGTTTCATACTATTTCATCTGTAGCACAGAAAACCAGCATGAAGATAAAACGTTTAATTCACAGATTCTCTCTAGACACTGCTTTAAGGCAGGGACTGTGATGAGTAAGTAACGCTCAGCCACTTATACATTCTATCCTAGTATTTTTCTAAGTCAAGACTTATCTACCTATTTATATACTTGAATAGTTTTGAACTCATGTTTTTTTTTTTTTTTAGCAAGAAATTTAATTTCTAATAAAAATGTCTGGGTGACATGAAAGTACCTATAGTAGTTGATCTGAAGACAGAGAAGGCTTGGCTCCCCACTACCTTCATCGGCACAGCTCTTAGAACTATTCTTAGCATGAAGCTGGCACTGGCACTGTACCTGCATCACCACAGCTTAGAGAAGTAACTCGGTTATTGACTAAATGCTGAAATAAAAACCAGTGTTTTGTTGTAAACTACTATGCCAGCATTCTAGGTTTCATGTTTTGTTTTAGAAACACCCCCTTTTCCTTAAAAATTTAATTAAAAAACACTGTGGAATGTGTCAAACATACAAAAACCTAACCGTATAGTGGAAACAGTATAATGAAACTTTGTAAGCCTGTACCCACAATTCATCTTCAATAACTATCACCGTTCTGCTAATCTGCTCTCAACTGTACAGCAAACCCCAAACTGTAAGTTTAACCATAATATTTCAGCACGTGACATTAATAGTTACAGACAATATAAAAGGAACCTTAATACTAAAGGAGACTTTCTCCATTTAAAATTTTCCCTTTTTAATAAAAATTGGTTGAATCCAAAATCCAAGGGGTCCTTTTTCACACATCTTTTTCTCACACTCCAGGGCTAATGTGACAGTCAAGACTGCCAACTAAATCACAA